CTGGACTGATGATTTGAAATAGTTTTGATTAGCTAACTTATCCTTTGGTGTTATCTTAAGATTTATTGTTCAGCATTCTCCCAGCATTTTAATTAATTTATGTTACTTTCCATGTACATTAAAATCCAGAAAACAATATTAATGAGACCATAAAATGCATGTTAGTGGAATACTTAATGTCAAATGGGGCAGTTACCTTGGGCACAATTTGGTAAGAGGCTCACATTATTATTTTTAGCTTAAAGGTATGCCACAAATGACCTCTTCCATTTTAGTAGTTATTCCTCTTCAGATTTATGAATGATATAGTTTTTACATTGGCAGACCACCAATACTCCCAAACTGGAAGGCCAGAGACCATTGTATCAAGATGTTCATGAAAATGGAAGCGATATATTCCTATAAAACAATAAGCAAATGGTTTCATCAGCACACATAAGCTCAACACACTTTAAAGTTTGTAGGATATCACAAATATCAATGAGAATGTGAATTGCCTTCATTTCCTAGATCCCTGCATCCATTTATTTTACCCTTCAATTAGAGCATAGTATCTATTGCAAGGCATCTAAAAGGAGGGTTAAAATCTATAACACAGATAATAGGTTCATTTACTCCAGTCACTTTAAACCAATTTTCTGTGTAACCAATTGAGATGTCTTGTAAACACCAGGCCCTCCCATTACTCACAGTGATTGTTGGGAAGAAGAATGATGCAGACAAATGTGTGGTTGTGACTGAAGCAAAAGATGCTGACAAACCTGTTAAAGTTGAGTTTTCAGTACCAACCACGGGATCACTTGCACCAGGTACTCCAAAATGGGCCAACTATGTTAAAGGAATTGTGCAGTATTTCAAAGGTTAGTTTGAATGTGGACTGGAATCCTCAAACTCAGAATTCAGTTGCACACTCTTCTAAATATGGTACTGAACCTTTGCAACTATATTCTTAACCCCTAGGTACAGTTGTTGGATTCAACGCAGTTATTGTGACTAGCGTCCCAATCGGTGGAGGTTTATCAAGCAGTGCATCACTTGAAGTATCTCTCTACACTTTCCTGGAAGCTCTGACAGGAGAAACTGACACACTGTAAGTAGTGGTTTCAACAGAGAGAACTTTAACAATAACTTTCCGTTGTTGAAAGGGTAATTATTTGAGTTTCTAGAAACAATTAATAGACTGTAAGAAAAATAAAATTTTCCATGTCACACTAACTATACTAGAATGAAGTGTATAAAATATGTTTAACTCAACACATCTGATAGTGTCAGGATGCAAAGAAATTAAATAGCACAGAAAAAGGTTAACAATCTGTATTCAGTTCTTGACATTAGATGTTGTAATTCATATCTGTCTGCATATCTACTGAGAATACATGGAGTTTTCGCCCCATGCCTGCCATGTGACTTCATAGTACGATGATTACGTGGAAAAGTAATTTTAAACATACCTTTTTTCTTTTCTCTGTTTCTAGGAGAAAAGACAAGGCTCTCCTCTGTCAGAAAGCAGAACATGAATTTGCTAAAATGCCTTGTGGTATCATGGACCAGTTCATTTCTGTGATGGGACAAGCTGGCACTGCCTTGCTTATTGATTGCAGGTAAGGTTAAACACATCATCGTCCATTGATGTTTTCACCTATTCACAAAAAAAGATCTTATTCATTCTTCTCTGTCCTCCCTCATGTTTCTCTCTTCTGCTTCTGTCCATTTTCCCTACTCTTTATTTTCTTCCATCATTTGGCATCTCCACTTAGACCTGGGTCGCTGCAGTAGTCATTTATGCAGAATCTTAACTTTCTGTGCTTCCACATACCAATGTATCCTTATGTCATCATATTGGCATTTCTGCTTTCTGGTTTTAACTAATATCCTGGTTTCTGACTTGGCAATACTTCATGGAAACTTTATCTCTACTGCTTGTAATCTGCTCTCTCTTCATTCATATGTGGTTATAATTACAGAATCACTATGCGGAATTATGTCTTACTTTGAAAATGCTGTAAAGTGGACAAAACGCATTGCCAACACATCCAGAATTAGTGAACATTAGGAACTTAAGCTAAAATGTATTAACATTAGATATTTTCGCAATTTTATTAACATCTGTTTCGTGAGAGAAGATACCCAGTATAGCAACAAGAGAGAAAGTCCACTTTAAAAGTACTATAATGTTAACCAGTGTGTTTGAACAGTTATGTGGTCAGCCTTAACTTTCAGGTCAATGCAAGAAACAGCAATACCAATTACTGATCCAGAAATTGCTGTCATTATTACCAACTCAAATGTAAAGCGCAGTTTGGCAAGCAGTGCGTATGCTGAACGAAGGGCACAGTGCCAGGCAGCTGCCAAAGCTTTGGGGAAATCTAGTCTGCGTGATGCCAATGAAAATGAAATTGACGGTAACATTTTAATATTTTATAATGTCTGGCTTCTGAGATGTGACACCGTTTGTGACATTCAGCCATGGGTAGCTTAACACTGACTGAGAAATTAACGTGCAACTGCCTCAAATTATCCTCCACTCTCCCCTGCTCTGTAACACTCCCCGGTTTACCGACTTCGTTTACTAGTTGATAATTCTTTGTGTCAGCAAGATATTATCAGTTCTTAGAGAACCCAAAGGTTCATCATGTTTGTAAAAGCCTACCCACCACTGGACTATAAATTTGAGATAGCTCATTCTATTTCACACCTATGCAATCTATTTCTCTAAGATCCATTATAACATCCCTCAATTCTCTAGTTTGAGGCAACGTTTAATTTCCTATACCAATCTATTCGTATAATGTCTGATCTATATAAATTTCTGATTGAGAAATATTATATGTATTGTGTTTTCTGCTGGTATTTCTTTGTTATCATAATCCATTTATAAATTATTTAAAGGATTAAAAATTTGTTTATCTTGGAGAAATCAGAATTTATTAGTGGCATGTTAGTGAACTTAAAAGTCCATGATTTATTTATCATTACAGAATAGCACTTAACTCCTTTGCAGGTCTCAGAGAAAAAGATCCATTACTCTACAAGCGTGCAAAGCACGTAGTTACTGAGAATAAGCGAACAGAACAAGCAGCAGAAGCGCTCAAAGCTGGTGACCTACAAAAGTTTGGTGAACTCATGGTTGCCAGCCATGAATCATTGAAGTTAGTACTGAATTTGGCTTATTACATTTATGTTTAGGTAAATTAGGTAACAGATAATATTCTGTTTTATGCTTTTCATTTAATATTAGAAGAGACAGATTTGAAATATATGATTTCTACAATTTTTTTCTAAATTCATATTGTAGTATATTCTGTGAAATGTCTCATTAACACACATATCCATGGCTTCCTTAATCAATGCCTGGGATGTAGCAAAATATGAACAGTTATCAGTGATTCAAATTATTTGCGAAAGAAGGTAAAATTCTAAAGGAGATTTGTTATATCCAAGTTTACTAAGAACTATATAATAATTTTAATAAGTACCAAAAACTAGGATGGAAATATTTTTAACAACATAATAATCATGATCATGGCCGTGGTACTGGCGGTAATGATGATGATGATGATGACGACGGTGTTTACTAGGATGGTGGTGATGAACTAATGCCATGAAGGAGATGAAAATCACACACCAGTACAAAAGTTACGTACTTGTAACACTTTGATCGTGTTAGCACTACTTTTCCAATACATTAAGTATGTGGTATTAAAACCGTAATTCTTACATTCAAAATGATAAATGTAAGAGAATCTTAAATCTGTTTAACTAGAATAATACCGAAATGACAACCATAAAATTAAAAAATGTTTACTCTGAATAGGACAGACTATGAAGTATCTTGTAAGGAGTTGGATGAACTGGTGGCTGCTGCCTTGGAAGTTGATGGTGTGCTGGGTTCCCGCATGACTGGTGGTGGCTTTGGAGGTTGCACGGTCACTCTGGTAAGTATCGTAATGGGCGACGATGTAGCACCCCCATTCCACTGACTGTTTATGACACACTATTTCCAGGATCCTGTTCCTCCCTATTTCTTCGATCCAGATATTCTACCAAGTACCCTGTTCTCAAACACCCTTAATCCGTGCCATTCTCTTAGAGTGAGACCTCAGCAAGTAAAATTAAAACTCTTATTATGAAATTATATTTTAAGTAATTGCAAACTTAATAAATGTAGACCGAGTTCCAGTTATCAGAGTATTTTTTACATGCATGACAAAATATACATTTTAACATGGCTATGACAATTTGAAAGATGTGGAACCAAAGAACAAACATTTGTTTTCTGATGATATTGATGAACTTTTATCCTTTCTTATATTAGGTTTTATATTTTTATTTGATTCTTCACAGGCTCCAAAGAAAACAGCAGAGAATGTAATTGCAAACATGAAGAAGAAGTACGAGGGGGAGCCAGTGTTCTATATAATGGAACCAGCTGAAGGGACCCGAGTTTTGACAATTCCCAAGTAGAAGTGTTTTTCCAGTCCTTATCAGTGCCTTAAAAGCATACCTGTTAATATCTGTCATACCATATAAGCAATATGCCAGTTCTACATTCAGTTATTAAATTTGAGGCAGGTACTAATCTGCAGCATTATTGTGGCATTCATATTACTCCATTAACACCATATGTTACATTTTCTACTTCAGTCTGTATTCCCAAAGCTATATAACAGTGAGCTGCCTAAAATTTGTTCTCTCATCTCTGAAATAGGATGAACTGAAAAAGTAACCAGAAGAATTGTACCAATTTACAATTCGTAAGTGAATTTACGACACCAAAGATTACTATTAGTATTCGGCCAGGAAGTATAATAATCATCTTAACAGAAGTATCCTTAAATACTTCTATGTAAGGTAGCTTTTGGAATAAATCTGGTATGTCACACACAGCATTATAAAGCTTCAATTTAGAAGTTTTAATTCAACACAGATCAAGCAGATAAAGTTAGCACCGACCATCAAATCCTATTTTGCACACACCTTATCATCAGCTTACTCTGAAAACCTTGTATCAATTTTTATTATTTACATGTTTACCAATCAAGTGACCTGCTGCTAACCATTGTAAATAATTCTGTACACTAGCATTGACCACGCATTACAAAACATTTTTAGTGCCTCTTGGAAAATTTATCAACACATGCACAACACTAACAATGCTACAAGATGAAGATACAGAGCTGCACCATAATGCACCTTGTATCATGTGCACTGAAGCAGATGTTCTTACCGTTACTAATCACCATCAACATACAAAACCACAAGAATTCATGACAAATCCATCATACAAATGCATAAAGTTGCCTTAGCTTGCACCAGTTACTCTGTTCACTGAGGTTATATACATGAACTGAACTCACTCTTCTACTTCTACATGTTACATAACAAACTGTTAGTTACACACCACAACTTCGGGTTGATGTCCTTGTCTCACATATAAAACTTACTAACCACCTTAGATACAACTTTGAAACCTACTATACGTATAAGTACGTTACTAGTAACTAACACTAACGATACACATTGTGCAATAAATTCACACACAATATCTAAAAAGAAGTATCAAGGAATTAAAGAGACATAATTAGTGCATATGTACAGTATACAGAGTGGCCAAACTTTACATTACCCTCCTGCATTCTATGGATTCCTGAGAACTATGCAGATTTAATCTCAATCACCAGCCTAAAAACTGTTTACTTAATTATTTACTGTCCTAGTACCAGGAAAAATACTTGAATAATTAATTGATACTTACCAGTACAGTTCAACTGCAACAGTCATAGCATCAACTGAGACCAGATGATGATCATGAATGGTGAGGAGGTAAGGATATTGAAGGGGATAATTCTACCAGATCACATAGCTCAACACCCCATAATACAGTAATTATTTTTATTTCTACTCCTTACTGTGCCATTAATGAAGTTTATTTTTTCCTGCCTTAAAATATTGTATTTACATTAATATTTACAAAGTATTGTATTTACAACAGTATTTACAAAGTATTACTATTATATCCATATGAATGTCCTATGCTATGATCCATCATCTAACCTTTTTAGTTCCATCATAAGAAAGGCTCTTGTATTGGGATCTGATACTTTACTTAATATAATACTTCTTGCCTTCTCTCCCCCATCTGCATAAATCTTGCTCAGTTCCTCTGCATATTGGATCCATACACAGTTAGCACACCCAGACATGCAACAAGTTGTAGGCTCCTCTGGCAGTGACACTTGCAGATTATCTGTCCCTTGTTCAGAGTTCCTTGTCTCACTGCAGTTACTCGTTACTGAATTTGTATGTGTAACAGGAGGCAGTCTAACCACATTTGTCTTCATACAACTGGAAGCGCATAACTGTAAATAGAAGCTTGATTTCTTTAACGATGCTGTTAATAATTCTGACTATGCATCAAACTATAGAATTATTAATAAATGATTAATTGGAACGGATGTGGAGGCAAGCAGTTGTGGCCTAATTTAAGGTACTTTCCTACTAGGAGAGACTGAAAAATCATTAAAAACTTCAGCCAGGATAGCTGATCTCCTGTCTGAGATTTTAACCCGGGATTTTCTGAATATGAAGCAAGAGTGTTAACCACTAGTCTGCAAAATTCACAAAGTCCTTGATGTAGGTAAACCATATATGTAGGTTAACAAGTATCAGAACCACACAAATTATACAATAATTCACATGCTGTCTTAATTTATTTAATGACATTTTCATTTGCATAGGTTACATGGTGTCAACTAGCAAGCTGAATGATAGATTAATTGGTAAGATGTGAAAGAAAGTTGGGCTGTAGATAATACATAAATATGAATTACCTATCACATACATTATAATCTGAAACGGTATGCACAAATGAACTGTATTCCCCACGTAATCTAATGTGTCTACGATTTGCCTAATGTGTGATAATACCTCACTGTCTTGTCGCTATATTATTAGTACCTTGCCTGACTGTGCAGCAACACTTAAAAAATACTGAAATTCCTTCATAGTAGATTCAATCTCAGCACAAGCACAACTGTTCAATTTGTTATGCTATGAAATTAAATAATTTCTAATACAGCTTGAGAACATTAAATGAGTATTCACTACCTTCAACTACATGCACGAACACAAGGAATGCTCTGCCTGTTTTCTCATAACCGTGATAAATTTCATATAAATGATAAAAATGATGAAATGCTCAACAATGATAATAGTATTTTGGCTGATTGATGATGGAGACAGATGTTACACAACCCAACACACAGGCTGCATGTGCAATGCCCATTCACCTGTGCTTATGAATTTATTTTCAAAAAAAGTGTGTTATTACAGCATGTAATGCAATGTGGTATGGAAACAATTAAAGATAAATACCAAAGTTTTTAAAACAGCATAAAAGTGATCAATGTGTTTTATTTAAAATATTAATATAAAATTATATCAATACCAAAACTAATAAAATTATATTAAATTAATACTAATATCAAAACTATATTTCTGTATGAGAACTTTGCCAATGCCAACTAATCCGACTCTGATTTCCAATACGTAGATCGATGCAAATATATTTGAATATTTTCAGAAGTTTGGCACAACATATTCGACAAATAGTATCTAGGTTAGGGTTGGGCACGAGTAACTAAATACCTGCAACGTTCGTTGTAAACAGGAAACGGTAAGTACATTCGCCATTTTTGGCACCGAAGTATGACGAAAGTGATTACATTATAGAATGATATCATAAAAAAATCACTTTCTACTAATACAGTACGTTGGTAATAGTGAATTCGTCAACTATTTACTGGTTTCATTTTTTTTAACAACAGATGGAACTGCAGTCCACGACTGTAATCTTGAGACTTGAAGGTTGAGCAGGTGGGGCGAAGGAGGAAGGAGGAAAGATGGCGTCTGCGCTGCGGACTTGCAATTCTCAAGATTACAGTCGTGGACTGTACGTTGTCCCCGAATTTATGAATGATACAATCAACTTCTAACCTTCCATAAGGAGTAAAACACAGCAATCAATAAATTACAGTTACAACCATTAAACCATTTTCAGCAGCAATTTCAAATTGTCCACTTCAACGAATTACGGATCCATAAATTGTACAAGAAGAGTGGATTTGTGTCTGATTAGTTCTTCGTGACGAAGTTTCTAACAGCTAATACATTTAGCAGAAAGGTGATAATACACACAAGTACTCGATTCTAAACTGCGATACAGACCTTTCTAACACGCCTTTTCTTCTGTAATTTGCAACATTCTTCCGTGCTGCTGTCACGACTGAGCTTAAATAACAAATTCGTAACTGATCCTTCAATATATATATATATATATATATAACTACTCAAAAATCATTCTTTTCATTTTCGTGCCACCGGTAAAAACAACGTTACGGTTTCTTGAAGTCGTGAGGTTGAAAGTCGAAGACGCTATTGCGCATCACCAACCAATCTTCAATAATTTGTATTGTATTTCTTTAATTAAGACTGCCAAAGTTTCTTATTTCATACAATTTAATGACATTGCTGTATTTTCTTTATAAAACTGTTGACTATTTTTCATTTTGAGGTATGCATGTTTTCGAAATAGCAGTAGTGTAATTTGATTTCCCCCTCAGGGACCCACATCAGTGGGTAAGGGGACTAGCACCCGCGAGCTACCCAGTGCCTGAGGGTATAGCCGGGCCACCCTATAAAAAAACAATCTGTTACGAAATCAGATGAAGCAATGCCGGATGGACTCATTCGCGGTGAGAAAGAATGGAAGAGGCTTTACACAGGCCTGTAGAGCCAATGATGATGATAATTAATGATGTAATTTAATTTCAAAGAACAATAAAAATAAGGAATTACAAGCTTTTTCCTCAAATACGTTTTACATAATATTTTAAACTTTCTTTCGTGAAGTCAAGGATTTTCTTTTCTAAAAATTAGTGCATTGGAAGCTTATTGATAGTTGATTAATAATGACTCAGCTGTATGGAGAAATGCAACCATCATCCTTTTTACATACATACCAGCTACTGTCATCATTTGTTTTGTAGGCGGCCGTCGAAAAAGATATGAATACTTAATGCAGTCCGTGGTTGTGAAATAGTTGACGACTCCTGATATAAAGGGGCCTGTATACAGGTGAGATTTCAGGTTCTCACTGTGGCGAATGTGAAGGTCACTGACTACTGTAATTTTGCGCCTACGCGTCTGGTAGAGATTGGCTGACGTTTCAGAGGTGCTTACTGTCTCAGTGCCCTGTTTATGAAGGCAGTAAGCACCTCTCCAACGCCGGCGAAACAACCGAGATGACAGTCACGTTAAACAAAATATCATTTGAAGGGCAACATTCCATCTTCGAAGTCTTATTACCCAATTGCGTTTGCATGTCCATCCGATCCGAAATATTACACAATGTGAGATACGACTACTGGAAAACTCGGTACGTTAGACATTAAAAAGATGGAACAAAATGAACATTCTTTAATATGTTTCCTGCTCTTTAAACATAATAATAAAATAATTAGTTTATTGAATTCTGACACACTTAGAACGCGGGTTAAAGTGTACTCGTGACTGATATGTTAACTAGCGCACCAACGAGGTTTACCTTCATGCTCGTGAGCATCTTTCCGACGCGGTGTTAAACGCAGGATAACTTTTGGCATCGAACATAGTGATGTTTTACGAAGCGCGAATGTTTTCAGTTGAATTTGTTTGGTGATCCATTTATTACATTTTGAAGTTCAGGCCTTCAGGAGCACTGGGGACAGGCACCGAAGACGACACCTATAAACCAACACTGTTCGTGCCTTTACTTATACTTTGCTCAAATGCGAAAATGTACACAACTATATTATCACATGATGTTTGCATATTGTCTGACGTCGCAATGTTGGCACTGAAAATTACTTATCGAAACAAAGTAACATTTGAAAGCATTGAGCAAAGTCACGTAGATCACTTATCGAAACAAAATTGATATATGAATAACATGCCAAACATGTGAGCGTTTCTTCAAGTTTCTGGGAAATTTCCATGCGGAAACATGTGTCGTTGTGTTGGTTGGTTGATGAACGTTTGGTGTTAAGGAAATATGGGCCTTAAGGGACAATATTCATGAATGCGTGTGTTATCACCGTTGCTATTAGGGGATTTTTAGCATTACAGGCTATTATTTTCCCGTCGTTATTGGCGGGCAATTTTCTAGTAACGAACAGTTAATCTCTTAAATTACTTGACGTAACTCGATGAATTTTGTACTGGGGATTTAGACAAAACGTCGAAGAGTGAGTCTAATTCTGAATCACAGTGAAACTAAAACCGAATTGTTTTTTCTTCAAAAACGGTCCATTGAAAGACTCACTGGTTGGCCAACATGACACAAAATGTATTCATTCAAGATCTATTTTTATTTGAGACATCTATCGATGCTGAGAGTAATTAACAAAATGAAAGGATAAATATACCAAATAAATAATTTTTTACTTGGAACGCTTTTCGATGTTGCGAATACACTAAAATTCGAGGAAAAATAATTTTACCCTGTGCAAAGAGGTTTGAATATCTTTCCAACAAATGGACGGCGAGGTTGACAAAAGGATAAAGAAAACATTTTTAACCTTGCCATCGCATTAACGGACATTAATTCGTACGTTTAATAAGAAGCACACACTTTAGATGTTTAGATTGAACAATGCAAAATTATATTGAAAACACATTGGTATCTATGCGGGTTATGGGTTTTACATGTTACTAACCCGTCTTGGTTTCCGATTTCGAATAGGCCATGACTGAGAAAAAAGCCATACTCGTAAACGCATCAGTCTTTTGTGGCGTCATTTATGTTGAAATAGCGTCACATGTCATTCCTGTCATACACGTTTTTTGGCAAGTAGCAACTTAGAAAATCAGTACCGTAAATTTGGCAACATTGATATCTTATGAGGATATTTCACATTGAATATGTTGGTTACACTAGCAAAATGAAAATGGCGTCATTGTAGGTTTTGGTGTTTTGAGGTTAAGAATAAAGATTACAAACACAAAATAGAGCAATGGGGAGAAAGATACCAGGAGGAAAACACAAAGGTGTGAAAGACCCTCAGAAACAAAGAGACAATCGAAACGCTTCGTAAGTAGAAAAATGAGAGTCAAAACATAGCTTAGTATGTACTATTCGAGATACAGTTACGATAAATTACAAAATATGGTGTAAAATGTGTACGTTATTTAAAAAATGGAATCACGTTCGGAAGAAACTTTCATTTGTGGTCCTAGACAAAACTGTAAACAAACTCGGATATCCACAAAAAAGTACAAGATATAGATCTTCATGTGCCAAACACTAACCCCAGTAAATATCAAGGAGTAGTTTACTGTACTGGAATTAAGCTATTCAGCAACCTCCCCCCCCCCACTATAAAACGTCTGAATCACGATATAAATAAATTTAAGTCAGCACCAAAAGAGTATGTCCTATCTCACTCTTTCTACTCCATAGAACAATTACATAACCAAACATTCTCAGCTATTATAAACATATGTAAGCAGTAGTGGTGATGCTTTCTTGTGCAGTTATTTTTGCGGTAATACCGTAGTTAACTGTAAATCACTGTCACAACTATGTAATTCTTATGTGTATTAGAAATAAGTATTATATTTGTGCTATGACATGTTCTACATCCTTGGCATAGGACTGTGAAGGATCTATGGAATGTAAAATTAGATTCTGTCTATTCTACTCCTTATTGTATTTGTTCTCTCAGGTGACGGCTTTGACATTATCAACTCTGTTTTAATTTAATTTAATTCATCATCCACTGGGTGTTGATTCAAAATGGTCTCTGGTTCTTCATTATGTGTTTTATGCAGTTTACAGAATAGAATCAACGCACCTCCAGAAATTGTGGATTTCCAGGAAGTGCCTAAAAGTGTGGAACGATTAATGAAATTAAATCAAGCACTGAAAGATGGTAGAATGCAGACAAAGAAGAGAAGGATGAGGAAGAAAAAACAGAAAAATGAATTGATAAATACAGAGAATTTGATAGGAAAAGAGATACTATTACCAGGGATGACAAAGGCAGACAAACCAACACAATCATTTGCTCAGAAACCAGGAGAAACAGATAGTCAATTCTTGCACAGAATTGATGAGGCATGTCATGTAAGTTCTTGTTATTATTGCAACAAATCTTCATACAATCAGTCTAGCATATATCAAAATATTGTAAATACTTCTACAGATTTTGTTTAATCATACAGGTATGAAATGTGTGTTGTTAGAAGTGCAGATATTGTTTTATAAAGCATACATGTAGACATGCTTAGAAACAAAAAAGACCAGTTTCTGAATGTGTTTCAACTGCTGGTAGTTAAAATTTTACCTGGAGTTTTCCTGATTTCTTTATGTCCATATTGTTTGTGTCATTTTTGCAGTCACTTAATACTTCCTGCCTCCACACAGTCTGTAGAGTGTTGAGAGTACATCAAGAAGACTGCCTAAAAGTTAAAAGATATAATAAAGTTTTGTTCCATGTTGGTAATTTAAAAAAGAAAAGAGTCTAGTGATTGAGACAAGTTCTTTCTATCGGACCCAACACAGTAGGTGCCCCTGCCACATACACGCGAAGATGAAAACAGATCCTGTTTTTGAAACATCCTTTTGTATTTTAACCTTGGACAATGGACAAAGTCCAAAAACCCAATAACACCGATTTTATCACACATCATTGTCAGAACCCTATGGAATCCAAGAACACTTCATACAAAATTTGTAGGTGAATTTATGATCTATTTACATTCAAAAGTTCATATTCCTGTTTGATGAGACAATTTTGTAATCAACATAAAACAGAAAACTAGACACAGATTTTACACAGCTTTCATGTTACTTTACATTCTGCAGAAAGAGCAACCTTTGTGAACATTTAATATATTTTTAAGAACTTTTAAAAAACAACATTTCAGGGCCTTGCATTAAGTGGTGCTAGTTTTATCTCCACCTCAGATATCTGCATGACCACCAATTTGGTATTCGTAATGGCAGGTAGCATACAGTGGTCCCAAGTTTCATGAAAACCTGTCAGTTGGTTAAAAATTTATGAGACACTTACACACAAACATGCCGACTAACTTTTGTTCATAAGTAAAGTAGGCTCCTGATGTATTTTATTGCAGTATTGTCATAATCAAGCATTTTCTCTAAAACACAGAATAAATGTACTTGTTACAGCAAGTGATTCAGGAAGCAAAGTTTGAGGCAAAATATGGTGTTGATATCAATGTAGATCCTGTCACAGGAGAAGTGTCAGTAACAAAGCAGCCAAGAGATGAAGTTGATGAGATAGAACATTCAATGCATAAGAAGCAAAATAAGAATAATCCTGGAAGAAAATCAAGTAAGAATTTACGGAAGAAGCAGAAATTGGAAGAAGTAAAGACGGTGAAATTAGACAAAAATCAAGATGACTTTGAGAGGTTTCAAGATAATGTTAAATTTGGTGAAACAGTTCATGCTCCACCTACAATCAAAGCAGTTCCACGAAAAGCAGGTTCAAAGGATGCAAAGGACAGGGTATGCATAACATTTACTACAAACAAATTTTGTTAGTGGTATAGTCAATGGAGCCTGCTGAAAATGCCCAAATACTTTACTTCTTTTGAGAACATTTTTCAGAAATTTCTGTGACATGTATTTTACTCTGCCAAATGGTTTTTGAAACTCCTGATGATACTGGCTTCCCATTTACATACATTAAGCCTGTCACTGAAACTGCTTCTTTAATGAACTTTGAAATTATATGGACCATGATGTAGCTGCCATACTTCAAACTTTAACTGACAAAACAGAAAATCATCTCCTCTAGATATGCACAGCACACTGTCCAATCAGTGGATAGCATTTATACTTATATTCCATAGTCCCTAGTTTTGATTATTGCCCTGAAAGTAGGCTATCCTGAGTTTCATAGTATTCTTCAGTCCTAGGCAAATCAGGGGATAGTACCTTAATGTAGATCTTACTGATTTCTTATACACCTCTCCTAATTCACCATTCGCAGCCATCCTGTCATTTGCCAGTATATGACCTATGCGCATGAGACTTAAATAAACTAAGAAACAAGCAACACTAAGTTGAATACATTTGTCATATGTCCCTATGTTTTACATGCCCAATGCACGTTTTCTTCCTTCATTTCTTCACCCTAATAATTCTCACCAAACTGTGCCAAATACATTGCTTTCACCCTCACCTCGCATGTTTGAATTCTATACTTGTTCCTATACTTTTCAGACTTCGACAGTGAAATTATTAATTAATGTTGTTTCTCATACATAACAAACTGAATGCATGAAATACATGGAGGTTTGTTTTGTTTCACAATAAAAATGAGGGCATGATTTGCATTATGAACTACAGTATTTGAAGATTAATCCTTCTAATCAAAAATCTGGCCAGTCAAATGACTGAACAGCTTTAATTAGCCCATATTTTATAAGCATTTATAGTTACAGTTCTTGTAATGAAATGTATTTTCACACAAATGATAAAATACTAGGTTGATAGAAATAAACCAAATTTTTGTCAATGTTCTTAAGTCATATGCTGTTTTCACAGCATGTCAGATTAGAAAGAACTCTTTGAAACAGTTTTATCAATCCTGGGGACTTTGTTGTACAATATGGCACTGACCTTCTCCATCATAAGTTATATATTCTCATTAGTGTTATTTATCTTCCTTCCCCTCTAGTTGATAGATGAGAAGTTTCCATTTTTTTTTCCATCTTCCCACACTATTTCCTTTTTTATTTCTTGCCAGCTTTTTCCTCTTTATATCTTCTGGTACCAGATCAGTAATTTTGTTTTGGTCACTCTGTGAGTCTCTCTCCTTTATATTTTAATCAATTAATGTTACTTATCTCAGTTAAAACAATCTTAAAATAAGTAACATAGTTCAGCTAATTCTTGAACCTTTTGCAGCCTGGAAGGAAGGATTTGTTGCTGAAACCAATGTTGCAGACAAAAACTGGGCCCATTTCCACATTTTCAAGGAAACTGCCTTTCGCCACACATCGACAGTTGGAGTTGCAAAGAGTGCAAGCAGTTGAGGCATATAGGATGCTGAAAGCTCGGAAATAGAATCTTCCAGTTATTCACAATGTATACAAAACATGTATATATTTATGTGACTTCAGTAGATGGTGTCTGAGTTTTTAATTTATTCTTCCCCTTGGACCATGTCATTTGAGATGTGTCCTCCTATTCACTCTCCCTCTTCCCTCTGAATCTTCTGCCCTCCACAGATTAGGCTGAAGCCTGTTCAGACTTACAAAATTTGAAGTCTTTGCAGTGTCAAAAATCTGCATTGTGGTCTTCTTGGTTATGATGCCACGTAGTTTCTTGTACTAGCATAACAACATCTATTTGAAAATGAGAGAGAGTATGGGATGAAAGTTATTGATGGTGGTCTTGATCTTCGTCACTGTGAGAACCATAAATCCCTTCTTCTTCTATGGCTCTCCGGTCCGTATTCGGTCCATGGCCTCCTCAATTCTCCTCTTCCATTCGGTCCTCTGTTAGGTCCGTCTGTCCGAGGCTTCATAAATCTCTAGTTTGTCTAATTAAAATAATAAACATTTTAAGAATACATTTTCTCTAAAATTTACAGATTAAGAGAAATCTCTACATAGAGGCTTGTATATATTTCACGTGCAGAATAGTTATAGTCAAAGTGCTCTACTTAAAGCTATTCTGTCCTCATAACAACCAGTTTCTGATAACCAACAGGGTCTTGTGAACTTAGGGTTCTTTAGTGTCTCTTACATTCAAACCTCTTATTTAACACTCTCAATCCATGTTCTTCCGTTACAGTGAGAGTTCCAGATTCACAGCCATACAAAACAACAGGCATCTCTGTACATCACTCAATATCACTAATGTATCATTCTGAGAGACACGGGATAAGTTTTCCAACATCTCTCTTAGCAAGTGCCCATTATCTCTTTATAATCCCTACTGTATTATTTTTTTCAGTTAATGAATGTACTTTTTCTTACCAACTTCACCTGTACATCAATCATGATTGCTTTTAAATTGAAACATAATTGCATTACTGACAGCTAATGAACTTTATTTAATAACGTGGAGCCAAATTTTAAGTCGTTGCCATCTTGTAGAGATGTCGTTTTTAAACAACAAAAAAGTCATGTTCTACAAACATAATCTCATGTCACATGTCCGGATTAAGTTCATTATGATTGTTAGACTGATTATTCATTTAAAGATGTTTATCAACTGTACTAGTTAAGCTGCCCACCGCAGTACAAAGCAGGAGTGCTAATGACTCGAGCGCTACGTTCGCAAAGTTCATATTTTTTAATGAATACAATACAATGAAATGTAATGAGCAGGGATAGCTCAGTCAGCTACGGGCTGGACGGCCGGGGTTCGATCCCCGACGGGGGCAGAGGATTTTTCCTCTAGCCTCTGCATCCAGACCGGCTCTGGGGCCCACCCAGCCTCCTCTACAATGGGTAACGGGGTCCTTTCCCGGGGGTAAAGCCGGCCGGGGCGTGATGCCGACCACTCACCCCAAACGCCTACATGGGACAAACTTTACTTTACAATGAAATGTAATCGATCAAAAAAGGAGATAAACTATTCACGCGATAAATTTACCCTAACCAATTAATATTCAGAGCATGTCAGGGTGGTACACTGGTAATGTTCTAAAGCATTATTTGGGAGTTATCTTGGTCAGGATACCGGCTATCGTTACTGAGAATATCCGTGGTTCTCCTCAGTCCTTTCATTATGAACACGGGGATGGTAGGCCTAACTTGAAATATACTACGGATCGCGTTCTTCCATATATTTCTTACATGCGTGATTTTGTCATTTTATCCGTCACTATATAACCCCTGCAGCTGACACAGCATAATTAAATAAAGTAAAAAAACACTGGCTTATGCAGTTGTCAGACTTTGTTGAATCTAACGTCACACTAGAAGCAAATGCAAATTCCAGTTGACGGCTGTAATCGATTCCTCCACTTTTACACGCAACTCGTTTGTTGTTGGTGCAGTTATTTGTTTAAATTACTGTATTTGTGGAAGAGACGCAGTGGCGGAGGTGACAACCGCCAGATACACAAAGCAGTTGACTTAACTGTCACGTGATGAGCGTCAACATGGAGGAACAAATGAGCTTCCAAGCTCTTCACCGTCACAGACTATTTGAACCCAATTTGTTGTGCAGACATGAATAAATCCCTATTGATATGACAGATGCGTTCACCTCTATTGACAGGAAGTTCTGGAAGCAACTACTTCCCATTAAATGATTCCGTGCACAGTACAAAATACAGCAAAGCCTGTCTACAGCGGAACCTTAAAATGGAAACTTTCCTCTGTCCAGATGCCATATTACCTTGGTCCCGTGTATAACGAGATAAATATCTACGCACATTTCTTCTGATAAACGGAAAAGAAAAATAAGGTAATTCATGAAAAAGTCTACTTGAGAATTTAATGGATTTTCTTTTCATGTAATTTTCATCCTAAAAATTATCTGAGAAGGAACAATCCTTTGACAGGTAGGAAAGAAGTAACTTGACTGTCGACAAAATATGCGCAGAAAGGAAGAAGTAAAAGAGAAAATTAGAAAGGAAACGAAGACAGGAATTCAAACCTTGCACTACTTGTTAACAGAATACTGTACAATGAGCATGATTTCTGGCATTTTCTTTGGATAATGCATCGGGTAGCTATATATAAAACAAAACCTGATAGTCAATAAATTCCCTGCCGTTTATGGGACTCGAATGTGCGTTGCCGTGTTCACAAAAAAAAAAAAAAATTGGACCCCACCCTGAGCCAGCTGAACCCAGCCCACAGCCTTACAAAATAAATTAACACATAGAACAAATTTATATGCGTGATACTCTCTTGAGGCCCAAGAGTGATACATGAGAAAGTTATTGGATTTGTAACATTATCACAGGATGCTTCAAAAATATAATTATACGACGTGAAGTAGTTGGAATTCTTAAATGTGAAGCTGGTTTTATTCATCGCTGTTACATAAAATATACAAATAAAACTTCGAAAATGCTACAGTTATTATTTTTAAGAGTGCAAGGAAGTAAATAACTGGAGACCATAAATATTAAACCCTCTTCATAGTATTCTTCCTCCTTCCAAGGTTTACGCTCATTAGACCCATTTCCGAGGTTACACAAACTGTTCAAACAAAGTAGGATTTGAGGTTTTCAAGGAGGTGAGTCTCGTAGTACTTAACCGAGGTTTCAGTGGCCTTTGCTGCCTCCATCATTAGGGCGTCAACAACCCAGAAGACAGCCATCTTTGTAAGAAAACTCAAACGGTTGTGAAATACATGCACACAATTTCTATAAGAACCTGCAGTTTGAACACGTACTTGCGCGCCTGTCTTGTGTTAGATAAAACTTCTTTACTAGGGCTGATTTCTATGTATTTTCACATTAAATGCGTACATATTTATTTTGCATAGAACATAATATGATATATCTAACATGTTTTTATTTAGTGTTCTGTCTGACGACAGGTCCATATGAACAGGATCCTTCCATCCTTTTCTCGGACTGGGACCTGTTCATATACGTTCTTGGCAGATGATCCAGAAGTGGTTTGCCATTGCCTTCTTCTGTGTGTGAATGGAGTAATTGTTGGGATGCCACGGAGAAACCGGGGAAGCCCCCGGAGGAAAACTCCGTGTTGCCTAGACCACGGCCTTGCCCAACACAAGTTATAAATTCGGGCACCGCCGGGAATCGAACCCGAGACCCTAGGATTACAAGGCCGGCGTATCTAACATGTATACGTCATAAAATGAAACTTGAAGGGCAATCATGGTATGAAGGTGATTATGCAGAGATCAGAAAAACAATTTCGTTAATATAAACAAATTTCTATGTATAATATTTGAACTGTGATGTTAATCTAAACGACAACTCATTCCTAGGTAAGTATAAATAAGATTAAGAACTAACGCTGCAATTGGTAGACCTTCAAAAGGAGAGAAATCAGATTGGTTGCTGGAGGCAAAGTTTCTCTTGTTTCCGGTGTGAGTCGTATATTTAATAGTAGCCAAAAGGGCACAAACATGATGTAGTGTATCACCTAAAATAAAAGCTGGGAAACAGAGACCGGCCGAAGATCTGGGAGCAGCAGCTTTATATTTACGGATCCCCGTGGGAAGAAGAACTCGCCCATTCCAGTAAGAAAGGTAATTAAACGTATTTTCATGAAATGCTCATCATAATCGCAGGAATACAACAATAACATATTTATATTGCATTATTCACGTTGCTAATTGCACTGTACTTACACCGATGTAGACTATCTACGATCCACTTACGACGAACATTTTTCCCTCCAAAATAATCGGTACCTTACGCGACTTTTATTTATGGGGTAATATGAAGGATAAAATCAACGGCACGAAACCGCATTTGGAACAAGAACAATTTTGGAAGTTCCTCAGGAAGAACTTCGGATGAATTTCAACCTGCTTTACCGTATAGTGTGTGCGTGTACAGGAACATTATTTTCAGCATCTCTATAAAGCAGCGATACTCGACTCGTATCAGGGAAATCTTGGAGCTCTTTGCGGTGATGCATGCAGTTTCTGCCGGCAGCCGGAAAGTGATAGTTGTGTTTAGATTTATTAATGAAGGACGTGTATTTAGAATGTTAACTTGCGGCACTGAAATGGGCTTTGTGCTACGTAACTTGCAATGAAGATCCAGTTTCAGTGTTAAATTCTTACGGTATTTTTGGAAACGTTGTAAATGGATGCTGTTAACAGGGAGAAGATTTAATCTTCAGAAAGAAACAATTTGTTTCAAACAACATTCAAATATGATGGTCTTCTGGGCTTTGGTGCCGTGTAGACTCGTAGGTAGACGCCAACATTTCAAGGACACACATTTTCTCCATCTTAAGGTCTCCATCGTACCCACCGCCGTGGAAACCTCAAATCTCATACATTAATAACATTTCAAAGATGTAACTTCGAGTTTCTTATCTCAATCGATTGAAGGAAGCTACGGCAACAAGGCTTTTAAGATGGCCCTCGTGTAACAAAAGGAGGTCTTATTAGACATTAACACACCCACACCTGCCTTACGAAGCCTTCTTACGTCATTCGTTACATCGACAC